CTGGTAATTGCTGAAGTCTCGTAGTTCAAAGTAAATGATAAGGAAATTTACATGCATACCACATGGTTCTGATCTATTTATATATCTAACGGCTATGCATCAATTGTTATGTACATGCCACTCATGCCTATATATTTAAGCACTTAACATCTAAACGTCAGTTCTTACAAACACACCACCTCTCCTACACATGATAAGGTTTATTCTACTTTTAAAATTGGTAATAACGCTATTTGTTTATCTGATGTAAAAGGAGTTTGGTGCTGTTTACGTAGATATGGAAAGCTTGGATCATGGTTATAGCGATTGCGATAATATCATTGTGCTGGAAATCAGAAATGCGTCACAGATTTTTACGTATATAATGAATAGATTCACATTGGAATATTTTTTATTCGATTTCCATCATTTGTCTTATGGTTTTTACACGCATACCACCTAACTCTTGTTTATTTAAATATTTAAGATCAAAGTTTCAGCCCTTACATGCATGCCACTTAATTCATATCTATTTAGCACATAAGCTTCAATATTCGCATGCTTAAATTCATTAATTTGGAAGAGCTTTCACGGACATGTTAATATCTATGATGAAAATGAAAATGATTCAAGGTTTATAAGAAAATATGTAGAGGTACATGAATGTAATTTGGGAAGGGATTATAGAAAAGGGCCCTTGTTTTTTCTTTGTTACGATTGAAATTTGGTTGAAATAGTATTATAATTATTTAAAATTTAGGGATAGCTGTCAGAAATACATGCTGATGGCTTAGTCTTATTCAAAGTAATTTTATTCTCTTTTAAAATTTCAGATTCATGTAGTGTGAATCATTAAGGGTGTCATGAGCAAACCAGCGACTTTGCCCCTGTGCTTGACAAGCTTCAGAATAGCAGCACGATTGGGGATGAAGTTGGAGTGGATGGGAGATGGAGTTAAAACTACATTGGCCCCAATACCTGCTATCAAGTTTGACCCAAAAAGGGAAGAGAAATATGGTTCAACGGCATGGTAGCTTATACTGGTTGGAAACATTTTTGAAGGGATCCTGTTAAAGCAGTAAAATTTGGACATGGAACACCTTTGCCTTCTCAAGATGATGCGTGATGCCCTCAGTATATTGTTCTTGTTTGATGATATACAATGGATTAAAATATTTTTTTTCTGGATTTGTGTTTATCCATAAGATATTGGTTCATTTACATACCTGCCACCAAATTCCTATGTACTTACATATTAATTTCTAAACTTTGTGTTCTACATTCCTATTGTCTAAATATCTCGGATCACACAAAAATACCATTATTTTAAGTTTTGATAGTGAAATACACCTTCTCATGTGTATGTAAGGCTGCATATATGTTAAGTTTTAAGTTTTGGTGTTGGATATGTAAATGCATAAGAAACGAGTAATAAGTATGCAAATCTTTAAATCTTCTTGATCTTCTTATATCCTTACCTTAATACCAACTGTGGAGATGCTCAGCTTAAGTGGAAATATTCATAATGTGAAAGTGTCATATGGATCATCGGGCGAGGCCATAGGTAGGAAGGTTTGGGGATAGGAGCAGTGATGAGAAATGTATCTATGTACGTGAGAATAGTATTGCAACTCCTATACCCGATGACTTTGTAGGGTTGTAGAAGTGGCATACTACCCGCTAATGTTGGGTAAAGAGTTGCCCTAACATTTAAAGCGATGTTGGCGGTCTTGACCTCCAAAAATGAAATTGATTTATCAACTGCGTCATTTACAAAAAAAAATACATGAATGCTTTCGCTGCATAAAAAGTTATATTTTTTATGATAAAATGAAATGTTTAAATTATCTTTATCACTGAAAAAGTCTAAATTTTGAGTCTTACTCATGGCGGTTCATATGTCAGCCACATAGGCCGGGCTGAAAATTACCCTCCCCTTGATTGACCTGCTGGCAGCATTTTACCATATGTTGGGTCTCGTGTACATGCTACTAATAGTTTTCTATGAATATCCCTCGATGATTGTCATGGCTTTGGTTCTGACTCTAAGCTCTCCCTTTACTAAAATTCTTATACCGAGCTACGATCTTTCATAAATGCGCCACCAAACTTTTTTACACGAATGCTAATATCTTTTGATTTTTTCTTTAATCTATCATCTTATTTGTGCGCTCAACTTGCAATCGTAACTCTTTTTCATCAGCGACATCACAGGCGGCAGGTACGTACTACCATTTTTCTTTTTATTGAACTTTCTTTCTTAGTGTGCCTTACTGTACATATTTTATTTATATTTTTGATTTTTTCTTTAATCTATCATCTTATTTGTGTGCTCAACTTGCAATCGTAACTCTTTTTCATCAGCAACATCACAGGCGGCAGGTACGTACTACCCCTTTTCTTTTTATTGAACTTTCTTTCTTAGTGTGTCTTACTGTACATATTTTATTTATACAAGTAATGTCATCATTTTGTTATTTACTATACTTGTAAATAACCCTTAGGGTAGAGAACAGTAGGTCATATGCTTAGAGGAACCTCGCCGCAAGACTCTATGACTCAATAATAATAACAAACATCAACTCAAATACACATGCCAAAATCACAACACTACAACGAGGAGCCCGGAGCAAACCCTACATGAAGTGAAACGAGGATGCAATCAAATGAAGGACAACTTCAAGTGGTGATCAAGACTCAACACGGAGCAAAGGACGATCCTCAACTAAACATTCCGTATTTCTAAATAACACAAACCCTTAGGACTTTGAGGTTGTTTGTCTAGAACGACATAAATTATCATGTTATCTTTTAAGGTTTAGCACAATCATATGTCGTTCAATATAAGCCATAAATCTTTTCTTAAGATTCCAAAGTCGTCATTCGGTATGATGTAAATCCTTCTATCTTTCTGGGTCATTTGCACGATCGTATATCGTGCAGATAAATCTTAAAATTCTAGTAAATTGTAGGATTTAAACATTATAATTTCTTTTTCAAAGACATAAAGCCTAATAATAAGATAGCTAGGGAAGCCACTGAGGTTCACCTCAAAATCTGTAACATCCTCTACCTTTCACTACATTATAATTTCTTTTTCAAAGACATAAAGCCTAACAATAGGATAGCTAGGAAAGTCACTGAGGTTCACCTCAAAATCTGTAACATCCTATACCTTTCACACATTTGGATTCCCAAAATAACTGTTCCACATTGAGACATTTTAATTTGACTTTCCTGTGTCCAATATTGAAAACTAAACGTTGAATTGTTGAAGACGAAACTCATGATCTTAATTTAGAGTTTTTTTAATTGACTTCGGTCGTATAAAACGTAATTAACTGTAGTGGCTTACCCCTATAGGAAATTAAGAATCCAAGTAAAATAAATCCTATCTAATATTAAATAAGGGAATTATCAATCATAAATTCTGCAGACCAAAATAGAGTCATAAATTCTTAGTTTGATAGTTAAGTCTACTGACAAGTGATACGCTCATCTTTTGAGATGGTATATCACTTATGATGTTGTGCTCAATTTATATATATATATATATATAATTATTTAAAAGCAACAGACAGATTACAGTTGGTGATCGGTATGCAACATCGCCCTCAATGTTCTTTTGTGCTTCTTAGGATGAGCTCTAGAATGAGTTCTAGAGGCCTCTCATCTCACTTCTTGTAACACTTCTCTCATATGCTTTCTTAGCTAATTGAATTGTTGCTTTACAATTTTTTTGGTATGGTCCATTGTTCTTTTTCATTACTCCTTGTGTGAACGATCTCCTTAGTTTATGTATGAGATCCATGCTCAACATACCTTTCTAAATGGTGAATACTTTCAGTATGTAGGGTTTTGTATTATTCGTGACTCATACAACCTAGGGGAATTCTTATTTTTTGAGAGGAAGGTGATTGAAGAAGTGAGAATGAAATAGGAAAATCCTCCTCTTCTCTCTAGTTTACATAACAATCATTAGGCTTGAGAGGGGACAATGAGAGGCAATTGAAGAAATTCAGTTTATCTTCCTTTCTCGTCTGAGGCTAGATGTATATCTAATCCCGCCTACTTTGCCTTTGTAAAGGGATAAAACATGATATACAAAGGTTAGATTGTACAATACAAGACATGATTGTGAAGTTTCTTTAACAAGATTGATGTCATGCCACTCTTAAATAGACGTGGATGAATGTTCATCCTTGAATGATGACTTTCATGCCTATCATTTATGATACTTGAGCAATCATGGAGAGTTTTGCAAACTACTTATGTGGCATGTACATGACAAATGGTAGATAGACAAACAAAGTTGAAAAAAACACTTTGGCAAGTTACTCCGGTTGTTAGTGTGCAATGGTTTTTATGGTTCGGAGAGGGTGGGCACACCAAGCCCAGTATGATAGGTGAAAGCCCATGAAAGTCACTTAGGTGTATACATAACAACTAGATTACATTATTGTAATGCTAATTAAGCAATAAATTACAACACTCTGTGAAAGGAAGTTTAAAATAGTAAATTTATGAGATGTTTTCATATTCCAACATGAACTCTTCTTATGGTAAAGTAAAATTCCTTTTTGAGATGTTTTCATATTCCAACATGAACTCTTCTTAGGGTCAATTAAAATTCCGTTTTTTTTCCTTATCCAAAATTTGTGAAATGAACTCAAGATTTTGATAGTAATTCTCCCTTTTACGAGTATCAAACACAATGTCTCATTGTTTTTAATTCATCTTCTTTGATAATTTTGTCAATGTATTTTTATTTTTTACAGTGCTAGGTTAAAAATAATAATAATTTTATTCTCACAAATATGAATGAACGTGAGCTCAATAGTGCTGAGATTCTTGCTCCTCAGATACATAAAACACAGTAACAAGTTCTTCCAAGAAACTGGAATTAGGATCTCCTTGATGATATATATATATATTATATATATAGTATCATAAATGCTATATTTGGTCATCGCCATATGTCCTTATCTGTTTCGCATCCTTTTTTAAAAGTACAAGGAAAACGACTTAGGTCAAGGACAAACATCACCTCTTACTCCTACTCCTCAAGTCTTCATCAACTTCTTATCATAATCTCCATAACTTGGAATCTATAAAGCTAAAAAATATTTCCTTTACTAACAGCAAAATAAGCAAAATGCCGGTCATAAAATAAACTCGAAGGCAATAGCTGACAACACTCTCCAATGGCACCAAAGCCTCCGTTTCTCCCTCTTCTTCTCTTCTTCTTCGTCCTGCTCTTCCTTTCTCAGTCGAGAGCAGGAATAGAAGATAAGCAGATTTTGCTTAAAATCAGGAACGAATGGGGCAATCCTCCCTTCCTCAGCTCCTGGAACTCCTCCGGCGACTACTGCAACTGGGCGGGAATCCAATGCGCAGAAAGCGGCAATGCCGTCTCCGGCATCTCCATTCCCAACATAAATCTTACCGGACCCATCCCTTCCTCCATCTGCAACCTCCATGGTCTCACTTATCTGGACCTCTCCTTCAACAACATCCCCGGTCCCTTTCCCTCTGTTCTCTATAACTGTTCTTCTCTCCAATACCTGGACATCTCGCAAAACCTCTTCGTCGGCGAGATTCCCGCTGATATCGATAGGATGTCGCGAAACCTTACCGATTTGATTCTCTCTGCAAACAACTTTACCGGCGATATTCCTACATCCATTGCTCGGTTTCCGGCGATCAAAAGACTCCATCTTGATTACAATCTCTTCGACGGCATCATTACGCCGGAACTCTCGAATCTTTCGACGCTTGAGTCGCTCTGGCTCGCAGTCAACCCTTTTACTCCGGGGAACATTCCGGCGGAGTTCGGGAACTTGATCAATCTTAACTTTTTGTGGATGGCGAAGATGAATTTGGCTGGCGAGATTCCTGGAAGTCTCGGAAAGATGGAGAATTTGGAGCATTTGGATCTTTCTATGAATATGCTCACCGGCGAGATTCCAGTGCAGATTTGGATGCTGAAGAAGATGAAAAAATTGTACTTGTATGGAAACAGTCTCACCGGAGAGATCGATAAATCCATTGCAGCTGAGGGATTGGTGGAGATCGATGTTTCCACAAATAAGCTCGCCGGAAGGATACCGGAAGTGATTGGCCAGCTCAGGAACCTTTCCGTCTTGTTCTTGTACTTCAACCAGTTCTCCGGGGAAATTCCTACCAGCATTGGCAAGCTACCTAAGCTCGCCGATATTCGTCTCTTTAACAATAGGTTATCAGGGATTCTGCCGCCAGAGTTGGGTAGATACTCAAAGTTAGAGAATATAGAGGTGGACGACAACATGTTATCCGGTGAATTGCCGGAGCATCTCTGCGACGGACAAGCACTGACTTCTCTAATCCTGTCCAACAACAAGTTAAGCGGAAACATTCCGGACTCTTTAGGCAGCTGCTATACATTGCTCAGTCTCCAAATTCAAAACAATGGCTTCTCAGGGGAATTACCGGCAGGAATTTGGTCCGCGCCGAATCTCTCCGTTGTGATTGGGCGACAAAATTCACTCACCGGCACTCTCCCGGATAAACTGCCGTGGAATCTGACGCTATTGGATATCAGAAATGCTCAATTCGTAGGAAAGGTGCCATCTTTTGCCGGCAGGCTAAGAGTATTCTATGGAGATGGCAACAGGTTTTCCGGCGAACTTCCGGCTAGCTTTTCTGATATCCCTTTCCTTGAAGTCCTCTCCCTGAGAAGCAATCAGATAACCGGCAAAATCCCAGAAACAATCGGCTCGTTAAAATTCCTCAACCAGATTAATCTTAAAGGCAACCTCCTCTCCGGAAAAATTCCAGAATCCATAGCCTCCTTGCCGGCACTCAATTCTCTCGACCTTTCTGTTAACCATCTCTGTGGCGACATTCCTCCCAATCTTGGCGGCCTCAAGCTCAATTTCCTCAACCTGTCCTCTAATTCCCTCACTGGCGAAATCCCAATTCTATTACAGAATCAAGCCTTTGATCAAAGCTTCCTCTCAAATCCATCGCTTTGTGCCTCCCACTCCCTCACAAAACTCCCAACTTGCAGAGACCAATCAATGAACCGTAACAAAATCTCTACTACTCTTCTCATCCTCTTCCTCAGCCTCGGATCCTTCTTCTTCTTCCTCATTGCCGCCCTCTCTGCCTTCTTATACAGAGAACACAACCTTTCAAAGAGCTCAAGTTACGACTCATCGGCCTGGAAGCTCACTGCTTTCCATGCCGTAAGCTTCAGCGAATCAGCAATCACCCGTGGGCTCACCACCGATAACATCATCGGCAGTGGTGGCAGCGGTATGGTCTACCGCGTCTCCCTCCGACGCGAAACGGTGGCGGTCAAGAAAGTATGGAACTTTCGAAAGCTGGACACAAAGATCGAAAAGGAGTTTGAGTCTGAAGTGGCAATCCTTGGGTCCATTCGCCACGCCAACATTGTGAAGCTCCTTTGCTCAGTTTCTGGCCCCGATTGCAAGCTACTAGTATACGAATACGTCGAAAACGGCAGCCTGGACAGCTGGCTACACCGCCGGCAGCGCAATCACTCCCGACGGCCGCCGCTGAGCTGGCCAACGAGGCTGAAAATCGCAGTTGGAGTGGCGAGGGGACTCTGCTACATGCACAATGACTGTTTTCCGGCGATCATCCACCGCGATGTGAAGTCAAGCAACATACTAATCGACCTGGAATTTCAGGCCAAAATTGCTGATTTTGGACTTGCTCAGATTCTTGGAAAGGGAGGCGAGTCAGAGACGGCGTCGCACTTGGCGGGCTCGTTCGGATATATGGCGCCGGAGTACGCGGCTGTGAGAAAAGTAAACGAGAAGGTGGACGTGTATAGCTTCGGTGTAGTGTTGCTAGAACTAGCAACGGGGAGGGAGGCAGGGGATGGTGGGGAAGAGGATGATGGGAACCTTGCGGATTGGGCATGGCGGCAATATAAGGAGAGAGCAGGGGAGGTGGGGAAGGCAGTGGATGAGGAGGTGTTGGGTGGTTTGCCAGAGTTTAGGAAGGAGGCAGAGATGGTGTTTATGATGGGGGTGATGTGCACGGGGAAGGAGCCGAGTAGCAGGCCAACGATGAAAGAGGTATTGCAGGTGTTGATCAAGTTGGAACGCCGCAGCTGCGGTGGTGGGGAGTCGATGAAGTGGGCCAGAAAGTAGGCGAGCGGGAAGAAGAGCTTCTTGGTGCTTACAGATGAGAGAGAAGGTACTAGGGTGGTTCCTCCGTTTGAGGTCAAGCATGGTGAAGTCATTTAGTCATTACTAGGATTTAAAGTATTTTTTTGAATTATGTATGGTATATTAAGTTAATAGAGCATCTTAAATTAAGCTTAACAAGTTATTGATCACTTCGAAAGTTGACAATGGTCAAGTTTATTATTATTATTATTTTTATGCCTCAATTAGCGAAAGTTGACAATGGTCAAGTTTATTATTATTATTTTTTTTTTTATGCCTCAATTAATTTTATCATTTGACATGAATTTCAAGACATCTGATGTGGATATTGAGGCATTTTTTAGCAAGAACTATTGAGATTCAAAACAAAATCATCAAGAGCTATGATTTCAGCAAACTTGTTGGTGGATGATTTTTTTTGTGATGGAGTTGTATATCCATCATAAACATCGGAAGATTTACATCAAAATAATAGGATGCGTGATTCGAAGAATAATATGCTAACCCATAGGATATAAATATTGTATTAAAATGGATCTAATCACTTGGATGAGAAAAATTTTCAACAATAGGTTTCTCCCCTACCTTGCAAGTATGGTTCATTTTATTCAAGTGTTTGTTATCCCTATGAGGGACAACCTTGTAATTAATTACATCTCAAGAGTTATAGCTCCTAAGAGCACATCGATCAAAATTATTGGTTTATTGCGTGCATGATTATACGGTAAGTGTATGTAAAGTAGATGTTAAAGGATTCAAATGGATAAACTCAGACATTGGAAAGATTTGCAAGGAAAAGAATGATTGAGACTTACAATCCGATGACAATGTGTCGAGGAAAGGCTTAGGAAAAGGGTTAGAAAATTTTGAGAAGAAGCCTCACTCTAGGGATTGAAATTGATAAGTTTGTCCAGAAGGGATTGATTTTTGCATTTAAACAATTAGGTTTAGTTTGAAAGAGTCAAATTTGTATTGTTTGATTTGATTGATTGATTTTGAGTTGATTATTGGTTGAAAAGAGTTTGATTAGTATAATTAACTGGAGCTAAAAACATATGTTGATTGGTTTTAATTTCCTTTGAAGGTTTAATTTTTATTTAATTTATTTTTTATTAAGTAAGATTTATTTTAAGTTATGAAGGTTGCTTGTCTGAAGCTTGTTTGTAGTATTTTTTTTTTAAGATTGTTAAAAGAAGCTTGATTTGGTATAAAGGTATTTGAGTTTGTTTGTTTATGTTTCTTTATAAATTTATTATGGTTATTTGAACTTTATTTGTAATGTTAGTTAAAATTATTTGTTTTGTTTTAAATGTATTTTAGGTTGTTGAAAGTTTTTCTGAGATTTGTATAAGTGATTAAGGTTTGTCATGAAATTGTTTGATTTGTTTAAGGATTATTAAGGTTTGTTTTAATTTATTTTATGACCTTAAAAATTGATTTTGAAATTTTTTAAAGTTTGTTAATTTGTTAAAGCATGTTTATTTTTTTTAAATCTTTTGGTTAAGGCTTATTAAATTTTAATAAGGTTTTTTAGAGATTTTTAATTATTTTAATTTGAAAAGTTGTTAAGGTTTGTAATGCTGATTAAGTTTGTTAAGTTAAAGTTTGTTAATTTTGTTAAACTTGGTTAAGTTTGTTAAATTTGATAAATTTGATGTAGTTTATTAAATTTTGTTAAATTTAATTAAATTTTGTTTTGGTTTATTAAATTTGAGCAAATAGGAATTTTGGAATTTTGAAAATTTTTAGTTGAAGTTGTGGGTTAAAAACTATGATCTTATAGTTGAGGATTTGAATCTGAAGGTTTAAATTAGAAATATAAGGATTTAAAAGGTTTGAATTTGGGTTTTGTAGATGAAGATTTGTAGTTGAAATTGGGGATGGAATTTTGGATTTGATATTTGAATTTTGATGCTTGGCTTTGATATTGTAAGTTGAAGGATTGGATTTGATATTGAAAATTGGGGGTTAGGGATTTGATATTGTGATATTGAAAATTGGGGGTTAGGATTTGATATTGAAAATTGGGGGTTAGGATTTGATATTGAAAATTGGATTTGAGGTTTAACACTAGACTAAGGGGAAAGATAGGCTAGAATGATTTCTAGATGGAAGTGATCCCTAACCCTAAAATAAAGTTATAGTATAATGGAGGCTAAATGGGTGAGCTACCTAATTTTTTGAAATAACACCCTTGATTAAGATACTTATTTCCATCATCAATATCACCATATAGATGTTGAATGTTGATCTTTTTCCTATTGGGTGGTTTGGGGTGCCTTTATTCGTAATAATGAGTTACTTCATTCTAAGACACCAATGTATTTTGAGGGGATAATGTTGTTTACTGTATATGTCCTAGTCCATAGTATTACTTATTGGTACTGTAAACTTACCTGGGCTTCTAAAATGTACTATTCTTGGTTATGCATGATCTTCAATTTTGTTTCTAAATTGGTTAACTTAGGATGCATATTCGATCTGCTTAATAGTTGTTCTCACGAGTTAAGTTGATGAATTTTAAAATTATTTTTGATGTTTGATATTTAACTCATGATTTTTTTATCCCTAGTTTTACTATTATTGTGAAAATCAAGATTTACAAGGTTTAAATTTTGCATTTAGTTTTCTATCCTAAGTTTTCTCCATTTGATTTCTCTTTCCTTGGTTATTTTAAGTGCTTGGTTTATTTTCCGTGTTGGATTTATATGTCAAGAGAAGCCTTATATGTCAAGAGAAGCCTTACTTTATCCTTTCATGCTTATAGACGTTAGGTAAACTATAAAGTCATGTAATTTAGTGTTAATCTATAAGATTACAAGATTTTGTTTTAAAATGGTGTTACTTATGTTTGAAAAGATTATTTGAAAAATTTTCTCAAATTTAGGCTTTGTTTAATTTTTTGCGCCAAAAAAAAGAGTTGTTTATGTTTTTTTTTTCGTGAGAATTTTATTTAAGTTTTAAGCATATTTTCTATTTAAGTTTCTTTTTTGAAAAAAAAACAATATTATTTTAAAAAGTGGCATTCCTTAGAACGTTTTAAATTTCCAAAAAATGCTTTCTTTGAAATAGGTTTTATTACATTTCTTAAAGACAATTATTAAATTTTATTTAAGAGATTTTGACAAAATTTTATTTAAAAGTCTTGGTTAGCTTTTGTTGGCATCATTTTTTATGTCATATGTGTGGGGTATCCACTTGAACATTCTAAGAACATTCTAGGACTGCGTTCAGTTTTCTGTAGTCTAAGACTCCCAATTAGTCTCCCTAGTACATGTCTTGAGCACGGGATCAAGAACGACACTGATTCAACCATGCTAGGAGAGCTCATCATTGAGCGGTGATAATTTCAATCCAAGATATATATAGTGCTCATTTCAGTATTTAAGACCATATTTCGATTTTCTAGAGCCCAATATAGTGCTCATTTCAGTATTTAAGACCATATTTCAATTTTCTAGAGCCCATCCCCCACCCCCATTGCATAGTCCAAGCTAACCATGAAATTTCTTTGATCGACGCTTCAAATGCAAGTGACTGACGTGATCATGCTTGGAATAGAAGTAGCCACGCACGATTATTGATGTGACCATGCCTGAAGGTAGTGTAACCACACCGAAAGGTGGCATGACAATGCCTAAATCCTCTATAGGCACTCAAAGGCCCTGTTGACCTCATTTTTGGTGAGGTATTTCTTTCATCTTAGTGCTTAGGATCTAGCTATAGGACTTTTCCTTTGACTATCCTAGAAAGCTAGAGATGGAACCCACCTACATAGAAATTCAAACCACTTCCTAGCTCTCTTTGAAGTGGTCATAAGCCTCCAACGCTTGGAAGGTTAGGACCAGCTTGTGAGGATTCAAAGATGAGTTCTCTTAGGATCTGTAAACCCTAAGACAATTGTGGTTGGTCTGGTTCATCCATACACTTACTTGAACCCACCAATTCCTTTTGTCCCACTCAAAACACCCTTCGACTTCTTGAGAAAACTCCTAGGGATGGTCCCGAGCCTTCCCCAACTCTTTGGGATGATTAGGAACAACCTATGGAATTTTTCAAAATGAACTCTTAAGAAGTTACGAAACTTGAAGGAGACTCTCCTTAACTTGGGGGCTCATGAACACTACAAGTTGCATGACTTGTGTAAACTCTGAAATTCATATCACCCACACCTTTATTTATTTTGTAATTAATCAAAACTAAAATCAATTTTCAAAATGATCGATCGGGAGCTCAAAATTTCGATGAAAATTATACTTGATGCGTTTTTGGCCTAATTGTCGACAAAGGTTGTCCAAACGACCATGAATGACAAAATGGACCGAGCTGGCAAGTCCGAAACATCAATTTTAGCTAGTAAGGACGCTCATTTTGTTAGGACGTTGATCCACCTTAAAATTACTTATTTTTTATGTACATTTTATGCTCAAATTTTAAGGATATTATGCTTTAATGAATATTATTTTTATGTTTTTGGTTGTAGTTGTAAGAAAAAGAGTTTAAGATTAAAAAGGAGCAAAAATACATAAAAAAGAAGCAAAATGGGCTAAATTGAAGAAAAATACCAAACCAGCCGAACTGGCACGTAGGCGCCAGATGTAGAAGTTAGCTGGCGCCTAGGAGTGACAAATGAGTGCCTAGGCATCACGATTATCTTCTAGAAGATTCATTGAATGAAGCCGAATTTTGAAGAGATGTCTGAAGCAACCCTTAGTCGTTTTTGAAGCTCTATAAATATAAATTAATTCCAAGAGGCTAGGGGTTTGGATTTATTAAGGCTCATAGTGTGTGAGTGTGTTAAGTGTGTGAGAAGTTTTCTTTGTCAGTCTTTATTTTGATTTCTTTATGAATCTTTGTTATTTCTGAAGTTTGTGAGTCCTGTAAGAGTCATGTAAGTGTTGTTGGAGTCAGAGAAGTCAGAGAACTTCAAAGGAGTGCTTGGGGGAACATTCCATATGATTATTTGTATCTTTTTCCTTAAGTTTTATAATTTGGATTGGAGTTTTATAAATATGTTTTGTTTTATTATCCCCATTCTCCGTGAGTAGGCTTTTTTTTTCCTTTCTCCTTTCATTATGAAGTAATTAAGTAAGTGATTTTGATTTTATTTCGAACTTCTTTTATTCCTAAA